TAGCAATGATGAATATTTTTTCATATATTTGTTGATTGATTGTATATCATCTTCTGAGAAGTGTTTATTCAGGTCCTTGACCCATTTATTGATTGGGTTATTTGTTTTTTTGGTGCTTAGCTTTTTGAGTTCTTTATATACCTCTTTATATACCTATCTGATGTGTGAGGGTCAAGATTTGCTCCCAAGATGTAGGCTCTCTATTCACCTCAGTAAAATAAATACCAGATAAATACAGATTGTCCCTTTTGCCAAGAAGAAACTTTTTAGTTTGATTCCATTTGTTTATTGATTCTTGATTTTAATTCTTGCACCAAAGGAGTCTCATTAAGGAAGTTGGGGCCTAATCCCACATGGTGGAGATTAGGGTCTACTTTTTCTTCTATTAGATGCAGGGTCTCTGGTTTTATTTCTAAGTCTTTCATCCATTTTGAGTTGGGTTTTGTGCCTGGTGAGAAATAGGGGTTTAGTTTTATTTTGTTGCATATGGATTTCCAGTTTTCCCAGCACCATTTGTTGAAGAGGCTATCTTTTCTCCAATGCATGTTTTTGGCCCCTTTGTCTAATATAAGATAATTGTAATTTTTTTTCATCGCAGTCCAGTCAGAATGGCAGCTATTATGAAGACAAACAACAATAAGTGTTGGTGAGGATGTGGGGAAAAAGGTACACTCATACATTACTGGTGGGACTGCAAACTGGTGCAGCTAATACGAAAATCAGTATGGAGATTTCTTGGAAAACTGGGAATGGAACCACCATTTGACCCATCTATCCCTTTCCTCAGTCTATACATAAAGGACTTAAAAACAGCATACTACAGGGACACAACAACATCAATGTTTATAGCAGCACAATTCACAATAGATATACTTTGGAACCAACCTAGATGCTCTTCAATAGATGAATGGATTAAAAAAATGTACCATATATGCAGAATGAAATATTACTCAGCAATAAAAGAGAATGAAATCATGGCATTTTCAGGTAAATGGATGAAGTTAGAGAAGGTAATGCAAAGTGAAGTTAGCTAATCCCGAAAAACCAAATGCTGTATGTTTTCTTTGATTTAAAGATGCTGATTCATAGTGGGATAGGGAGAGGGAGCATAGGAGGAATAGATGAACTCTAGATAGGGCAGAGGGGTTGGAGGGGAAGGGAGAGGGCATGGGGTTAAAAATGATGTTGGAATGTATTGATCATTATTATCCAAAGTACATGTATGAAGACATGAATTGGTGTGAATATACTTTGTATACAACCAGAAAAAAATATAAATCACATATTTTGAGCTTTTATAATTTTCCATAAACAGTTCTACGTACTGTACTTACATTAATGAATTTGATCCCCACAAAGGCCTTGTGTATATAAACACTGTTTTCCAATTTTTATGGGTGAAAGACCTGAGAGGGAAAGAAACAGATTGCATACAGACATTCAGCAAGGGCATGGAGGAGTCAGAATTAGGACCCCAGTTTGGCTTCAGCACATGCTAACTGCTGTGGTATCCTTCCTGTTACCAAGCAGATAGATCCTTTTCCTGCTTTCTTTACTTGGATGCGTGCTCAGGGGTTTCGTATTTCATATACCACAGAGACTGGGCAACAAATGCATCTTTACTTTCCCTGGGATAGTAGCTAAAGTTTTCTGGTATATTTTTAACACTGAACAGTCTTGCAAAGCTGCTGGATTCAAGCAGGGACATGGATTACAGCTTCCCAACCTGTCAAGCATCCACTCTAGGTCAGAGGGACATTAAGACACTGAGCCATGGGTCTTGGTCTAATATATTCTTGGCCTGCTCAAGTGTCCAAAAACTGCTCATGGTTCAAGGGAATTTTAATTTCCCTTTTCATTTTTAGCATCTGGGTATATGCCTTCTTCTCTTTATTTCTTAATATTCATTACTTTCTTTTCTTCTTCCTTTTTTGAAGTTTGGCTATATATTTGAACTTTTGTTTGGAGATTTAACCTAGTCATCATTTCACTATTTTCTGTCCTTCTAGTCAGAAGCTGGAGCTTCCTCATCATAATAGGTCAACATTTGTGGGGCAACCTTCACATTTAAATGAAGACATTAATCTTCCCCAAATGAAAATAAATCAGAATAAAAAGGTTAAGAAAGAGCATCTACAAAAACAGTAAGAAAATATATTTAATCCAAGAAATAATTGATATTGTAGATGTAATGATATTACCAATATGATTGTAAGGAAGGCAGAGTAAAAATGATTCCTAAATTAGAGTACAAAGTGTTTAGAATAACTCTAACAATAAAAAACTAGAAAACTGAACTGTGTTCCAATTGACTTAAACTAAATTATTGTTCTATTTTATTTAAAATTTTACATGTGTGACCTTCTTCACAACCCAGGAGACCTTTAACACACCTCTATCTCCTTTGTTTTTGCCAGTTTTCAATGTAAAAAACATGTAATTTTTCACTGTTGACTATTTTTTAAATTAGAACTAATTTTTAAGGAGAGGAATATATGCAGAATATTATGGTTTTAACTGTTGTAAATTTTTTAAAATTATCCCCTTTTTTTTCCAGAACATCTCTCAGTTTTCTGATTATTAACATCTGTGGATTGGGAGCCATGTCAAATATTTGAGATTTCCCAATACATGAACTTTGGTTTCCTATTTTGCCATTTATTGGGGCAGGTCAAGAAAAGTTTGCAATTCTTTTCAGAGAGATAGACTTTGAAATGAGAATTGAATACATTTTTGTTTTTTTCTAGTATTCATGCTCAGAAATTCTCCTGAATCTTATAATATTTTTAGTCCTTGGTAACACATTTACTATTAGTTTGTTCACAAGTCTTACCATTCCTTCATTTACTGTTAAAAGAATGGAAAAAAGAAATTTGTTCCTAATTCTTCATTTGTGCATCTTAGTTCCTCTAAGGCAGAAGTCTTTTTTTTTTTTTGTATAGCTTTAGTAGAAAAATAAATAAAGGAAAGAAAAAAAATTAAAAAAAATTCAGCTAGAGAACATAATGTTGAGTGAGATAAACCATACCCAGAAAGACAAATACTATATGATCTCATATTTATATGGAATCTTTAAAAGTTGACCCACAGGAATAGAGAGTAGAATACAGGTTAAGAGACTGGAGAGGAGACAGGAAAGGGCAAGGCTGGCGTACAAATGCATGGTTATAAAAGTGAATAAGTTCCGGTGTGCCATTGCACAGTACAGTGACTGTATTTAACAATGATGTGTATTTCAAAAGAGCTGGTAGAGAAGTTTTGGAATGCTTGCCACAAAGAAATGATAAATTTATGAAGTGATGGATATGCCAGTTACCCTGATTTGATTTTATTTCCCTTGGATACGTACCTAGTAGTGGGATTGCTGGATCCAAAAATGTTTAATTTTTTTATATCTTAAAAAAAAAAATTCAGCTCCAGCATGTTTTGCCCACTTAGTCTGAATTGGTCAAGTTTATAATTGACAGTTATATTTAACCATCAGTAATGGAGAAAAAAAAAAAGAAAACAAAGAAAGATTTCTCATACAAGTGTAACTTTGGTTAGTATATTTTTCTTTACTCTTTTCTTACTCTTTCCTTCATCTTGGTCTCATGATGTCTGATGGACTAGTACAATTTTCCTTATTTAGCATTTCTCCCCTATTCCTGGAGTTGAAAGACTAGATGAACAAACTAGATGAACAAACATGTTTTATTCTGAACCAATCACCGAATAGTCATTTCCCTGCAGAATAAATGGTTTAGGGGTTAAAAGGAGAGAGAACAAAACAAGTTCATCATGTGCCGCTTGGCTTGACTACACCCCTCTGTCGAAGCCAATCTGAGTAAGAACTGCTAGGAGTAGCCACCTACTTAGGTAATAAATGTAGCAGCAGCAATACATTTTAAAGTTTTCATTGTTACACTAGGTACAAGAAAACTGTGATTTGCCATTTCCAGAGGAGTTTTTCTAATTTTCCTGACAGTAAGTAAAGCTTTTTTTTTTTCCTGTAGTATGCCAAATATGTGGGTGGACACTGTTAAAATCATAATTTTTAGATGTTTTCATGTTGTACACTTAATGACTAAATTTTTTCTATTTTTTTCCCAAACAACTTTTATCCTGTAAATATAACAGTAAAATATAGGAAAATAGCAAAATTTACTTCTGTTTTCACTAACAGAGAATTGCATAAATATTTTGATATGCAAATCTGAAAGAATAATTAAATTTGGAGATTATAAAAAACTGAAAAACAAAAATGACTTCTGTTTGTTTGAGAACACTCCGGTGAAATTCCTTTCCCATATAATTCATTCTTTCCTTCTTCTTCTTTTTAAGACTTGTTTCACAGTTTGTTTCCTGAATTATTCAGCGACTAACCTGAGAAATTTAAAGGAAATTGTTTTATTCTTCCTGTGTCTCAGAATCCAATTTTATGCACTCTGAGTCCTGATAGTGATCCCACAGCCTAATTTTTTTTTGTTAAAAGTTGTCCACTGCAATCTGAAGGTAAATACTACAAGAAAATTTTTCACTGGGGTCATAACTAATGAATGTTACTTATTATTCACATGAACTGAAGTAATCTGAATTTTGACATTAATTTGATTAGCTTTGAGATTTTCATTAAAGTGCAAGGAGCAAGAAATGACTATTAATAGGAAGAGATATAATTTAATTATTCACATTATTGAATTCTGCTGTGAAAGGTCAAAAAAGTGAAGTTATAGGTTCTAAACTCAAATGATAGTTTTTCTAGAAAGTGTAGAATTCTGTTGCTGAAAAATGTGAAAACAAATCACTCTACCTCTCCATCATCTCTCAAACCCCCAGATAAAGTGAATATATGTGAGGTGAATCTTTAGTCATGAATTATCGCAATACAATTTTAAATCCTTTTTTTTTACAATTTTTAGAAGTAGTAAATATTTTACTCAAAAACATAATCATGATTTTTCTTAGTATGCTTATTTTTTCTTGTTTATTTCTCTTTGTTTATTTAATGAAGAGGCAAAATGAGAATAAGACAGATAAGTGTGTATCAGCAAACTCAAGCTCTTCTGTGTAAGAATTTTCTTAAGAAATGGAGGATGAAAAGAGAGAGTGCATTGGTATGTAAGACAGTTTGTCTCCTTCTCCAGTTTTATTTTGTTGCTTAATGATTTCAAATGTTACGCTTTAGATAACAGACCAGATATGTTGATTTTTGAGGTTGTCTCTAGTTGTATTTGTTTAATTGAGAAATGCATAACAGTCCTTGAAAAATAATCTAGATTTATAAAGAGTAACAGTACTATTCATATTTTTAAAGAGAAATTCAGTGTACTTTTAATTAAATGGTAAATTGTATGAACAGTTAAAGCTACCGTGTTATCCACTTAGAACCAAGAAATTGAAATAAAATTGGCCTAGCATAAATTGAGAAATGTTAATTTTATACTCTCATATTTAAGACTGTTAATTTTCTACCTAAAGATTATTTCTGAGAATTTTCAAGTCACACCACTGTGGGTTTGCATCAGGCAGCAGGCTAACTGCAGGTAACTAGCCCAGATCTCAGTGGCTTAACAAAGAAAAGATTTGTTTCTCTCTTGTTGTAATCTGAAGGTTGTAGTGGAGAAGTAGGTTGAGTAGATGGTACAATTTCTCTACACAGTCATTCAGAGACCCAGGCTTCTTCTACTAGAGACTGGTCATCTTGCCAGGGCTTATAGACCTTCATGGAATCCTCTACATCCAGTCAGTAGATGAGAAAAAGGAAGACTTGATATAGAGTATGGAAGGTTGTGTGAGGGTTCCCAAGCCAGGCTTGGAAGTAGCATGTTATCACTTCTATCCACATCCTACTGGTCAAAACTCAAACATTTGGTCTCACTTAATTTTAGGAGGCAGGGAAACTAGTCTAGCATGATATTAAAGGACGAAGAGGTTTTTGACATTGTGGATTCACTAGAGAGACTTTAACACTCAGTTCCTTCTTATTTCCTTTAGTTTTTGATATAAGGATATCATAACTGAGAAAACATTGCTATTTGCCCCATGAACCCTCTCTGGAATACCCCATGGAATCTTGAATTGGCTGCCTAGGAGTTCAGAGATTAGCACTCAATTAGGTGTCCTGTTAGTTTCAAATGGCTTCTGAAGTAGTTCATGAATTAGTGCAAAAGTTTAGTTCTAGCATCTGAGAAGGATATATGTGGATATTAACTTAATATTTATCTTTTATTGGGTTTTCCTTGCTTTGAAGAGTGGAGAATGGAGAGAGGCCAGCTATATGGGAAAACTGAAATTTGTCATCAACAGTTCTTTGATATCGATTGATTTTAAAGGAAAATGATCTAAGCTCGTCTCTTTCCTCCTCCTCCTCCTCCTCCTCCTCCTCCTCCTCCTCCTCCTCCTCCTTCTTTTTGTCAAATATTTTATAGGAATGGGGCTTCCCAATACTGCTAGGACTGTATCTGGGTCTGCTTTCAGGAGTCAGAGGAAATGCCCAGTTACCTGAGATACCTCCTCAAGATCTGGGAAGGATAGACAAATTTAATATCTCTTCTATAATAATTGTGTATATGCCAATCTCTAATATAACCCAGAAGATAATGAATACAACAGCATTTGCTCCCTTAATGAAAGGTAGGTGTACTAATGGCAAGAAAGCATTACTGATATCAGTACATAATTTTTGAAAAGATGTATACATGTTAATTTGAGGTGACAATGATATATTCTGCTAACAATTTCAGCATCAAGATAGCATACAATTTTGTTAGGTTGTTTTTGGTGGGGGGGGGCAGTCAGAACAATTAGCTTTGATGAGAGTTAGATTTAGGGAGGCCCACATTCCTACTGGAAAGTAATGAAATATCAGATTTATAATTTCATATTTGCAGAGTAATAAATGGGAGAAATATAACCATTGGTAAATATTTGTGGTTTTAACATGGAAATACAATGATTAATATGTATTGCTCATAAACAAAAATCTCAGTAAAAGATTAGATATTAGTTATATAACAGTAATCTCATAACTATGAAAAGATAGATAATTTGAAGATTGCTTTTTTCTACACATAGTATAATCAGAAGGTTGTTCTTTTCTGAATATAGTTCAATTCATAAACATCTTTAGAGGTCTTCATTTTAAATTATGTCTTTTTATAACCAAGATGAACAAACTGTATATTTTATTTATGAGCAAGCAGGTTTGAATCTATTTACTCTTTTTTTTAATTTTAAAATTTTAATTTTTATTTATATATGACAGCAGAATGCATTACAATCCTTATTACACATATAGAGCACAATTTTTCATATTTCTGGTTGTATACAAAGTACATTCACACCAATTCATGTACTTTGGATAATGATCATCACATTCCACCATCATTTCTAACTTCATGCCCCCTCCCTTCCCCTCCAACCCCTCTGCCCTATCTAGAGTTCATCTATTCCTCCTATGCTCCCTCTCCCTATACCACTATGAATCAGCCTCCTTATATCAAAGAAAACATTCGGCATTTGGTTTTTCAGGATTGGCTAACTTCACTTTGCATTATCTTCTCTAACTACATCCATTTACCTGCAAATGGATTTCATTCTCTTTTATTGCTGAGTAATATTCTATCTTTATATATATATATATATATATATATATATATATATATATATCCTCCTCAATATATATATTTATATAAATTTGCCTATCAGTCTAGCTATTTTGAATTGTGCTGCTATAAACATTGATGTGGCTGTGTCCCTGTAGTATGCTGCTTTTAAGTCCTTTGGGTATAGACTGAGGAGAGGGATAGCTGGTTCAAATTGTGGTTCCTTTCTCAATTTTCCAAGAAATCTCCATACTGATTTCCATATTGGCTGCACCAATTTGCAGTTCCACTAGCAGTGTATGAGTGTACCTTTTTCCCCACATCCTCGCCAACACTTATTGTTGTTTGTCTTCATAATAGCTGCCATTCTGACTGGAGTGAGATGAAATCTTAGAATGGTTTTGATTTGCATTTCTCTAATTGCTAGCAATGATGAACATTTTTTTAATATATTTGTTGATTGATTGTATATCATATTCTGAGAAGTGTCTTTAATACTTAATTTCTAACAAGTGAAGCTTCTGGTTGTTATAAATAGAGTTGTTTGTTATTTTGGTTTCTGCGTAGGACAAAGGTCGTACAATTTCTTTTCTTTAGTGAATCTGGAATCTGGAATACTCAGCTGTAGAGTGACTACAATTGCCTCTAAGTTTTCATAACTTCATTGTATAATGTTGACTAATCCCACCATAATGTTTTTTTTGTATACATAAAACTTTCCCTGATGCCTGTCATTTAAAAAAAGAAAACACTTCATTCTCATATATGTCTCCTGATTCTGGAATCTGAAGAATTAAAATAAAAATGTCCACTTGACTTTTATTTCAAGTTTGATTTAAATGGAAAATAATATTAGTGTTGAGACTAATAAAAACATGTGAAGACAGTTGAATATTTTGTGTTGAGGAAACTCAATTACAATTTTGTATGTCTATTTTTACCTTATAATTTGCAGGAACAAGAATCATTGGGGTACCAGATAAAAAAGACATGGATGAAGTACTTTTTGAGTATTTCCCACATGCAATGGGAATCATCTTTAGTGACACTTTCTCTTACAAGTTAAAATTTATTCGAGGATATTATGTTCCATTTTTGAGAGATGATTTAACAGGTGACTTTTCATATAAAATTTAATTATGTCTGTCTTCATGTTTTCAACATAGGAACAGGTGGGGATGGGCAATATAAATTTTTTCAATGGCACAGGAGAAAATAGAATAACATTTATTGTTGAACTTATTCCAAGACAAACTAGATAAACTAGCCTCTCACTAGAAGCTGATTCTAAAAAAAAAACCTGTAGAATAATTCAACATATATCTATTGAGTATGCATGTATATGACTGGAAGTATGCAGGTGTGATCAAGACTGACAGGTCTGCTGATGGGTCCATGACAGGTGAAATTCCAATTTATCAGGAAAGTCAGATGTTGAAGAATTAAGGACAAGTGCAAGGAAAGGTTCTTGTGGGGACTTAGACTGGTATTCCTGGTGAACTGTGGAATTAGGGAAAGGATGTTTAAACCAAGACCAGAAGGCATTGCTTTCAGGGGGCAGAAAGAGGAAAAGCAAATGGGAAAGACCTGAAGGGAGAAAGGGGATCTCTTATTAGATCTCGAAGATACTGAAGAGGAGTATGATGGGCAGAGGAAGCTGGAGCGACTCAGGTTGGATCTTCTGGCATCTCATAGACCTCAAGCATTAGATAGCCCTTGAGGTACTTCAGTCGAGGCAAGGAAGGTTGTGATTAGGTTTCCAAGACTAAGACAGCATTCCTGATGCAGCCAGAGAATAGATTGTAAAGGACTCAGGGAGAATGTAATGAATCCTGCCAGTGAGCTGACAGGTGGCTGAGCTGATGCTGGAGGCAGCTGAAAGGGAGAGAGGGCAAAAAATTAGAAGACCCTCTAGGAAGCAGAAGCAATGGGACTAGTAGAATCAGTTCTTTCCTACTCATGCTAATTGGGACAGGGGATGGGAGAAAAATCATACCCACCACAAAGTATGACAAAGCCAGGTTATAAGATAAAGAACTCAAGAGCTATTTTATATATCTTATATATAGCTATCAGGAAAGACCTGTTTGATGAAGTTACTTGAGAGAGGAGATCAGGATGAAGAAGTGAGCCATACGTCCATCTAAAAGGAGAACATTTGAGTGCAAAGAAAGTTGTAGGGCTGGGGTGTTTTTAATATTTTGAGAAATAGCATGGAACACAGTGTTTCCTTTTATTTACTTTTTGTTTTCTAATATCTTCTATGAATCTGTGGTCTTCATGAATAAAATTACCTTTTTAAACTTTCATGTGCTTCTTTCTTCTGTGTAGTTAAATATTCTGACTGGCAAAGTCTCCCCTGTATTGTCTTTTCTTAGATTCTTGCTTCTTAGTGTCCAACAGTCTTTGTCCCATACTGATGGTTATTCTTTTCTTTGTGCTTACAGATCATTGTTGGGAAATATATGGTGAATATTCATGTGTATTGTCCAGATACTGGGAAAGAGGATTTGTGACTTTGCAGACTATCATTAATGCTGCTATTATAGAAGTAAGTACCCACCTGAGAAGGTCTAATGTTCAATGTAAACTAATCCCATGGGCATCATGATTGTTGTGAAAGTTGATGCTTTTAGTCCATTTATGCTGTGATTTATCAACTACCTGAGACTGGGTGATTTAAAAAGAACAGAAATTTGTTTTTCACAGTTTTGAAACCTGTAAAATGCTAGATCTAGGTGCTAGAAAACTGAGAGTCTATGTTCCTCACAGATGTCACCATCTAAGTGTCCTCACATGGTGAAAGAGCAGAAGGGCAGAAAGGGCCTTAGTTGGTTCCCCACAGCCCTTGATAAGGCACTAATTCATCCATGAGGGTAGTACCACATTCATGAGGATAGTTATCTAATCACTTCCCCCAAAGGCCTACCCCTTATATCACCAAGGTGATGAAGTTGCAATGTGAATTTATAGAAAGGTCCCATTCAAACCAAAGCAGTGATGTATAGTCAGGTTTTCATATAATGAAGCAGATGTTCAGACAAGAGAACACTGCCTATTTTCAGACTTGTTTTTGGTACTAGGGATTGAACCTAAGGGTGCTTAACCACTGAGCAACATCCCTAGACCTTTCCATTTGTTTTTTCTTTTGAGACAGTGTCTCCCTATGTTGCAGACGCTGGCTTTAATTCAAGCTTCTCCTGTCTGAGCTTCCAGAGTATTTTCAAACTTTTAGTTTTTTAGTAGTTCTAAAACCAGTAAACTGCAGGAATTTACAGAGAGGTCCATTTTACTAGTCACTCATTTTCCCTTAATGTAAAATCTTATATAGTAACAGTAGAATATTGAAATTGTTATAAGTACAAACTGCAACACTGATGCTGATTTCACCAGTTTTGTTCCTTAAATAATGATTCATATTTGTTTAAATCCTTCTTTAGGTCACAACAAATCACTCTGTGATAGATGAGTTGATGTCAGTCACTGCCATAAATATGAAGACATTACCCTTTATTTCTAAAGACATTTTTCAATGTGAGATGTTCATTTTATACTGTTTGCTTTATTTTTTCCCATTTACATATTTTGTATCACTCAATATTACAAAAGAGAGGAAAAAGTGTAAGGAATTGATGAAAATGATGGGTCTACATGATTCAGCTTTCTGGTGAGTGATAAATTCAAGTAGTTCCAGTTAATAAATGGAAACTCTGAAGCAAAAAAAAATGTTATTGCTTCAAAATACCATTGTTTACTCTTGATACAGTAACTACATTATCTTTTGCTCTGACTTCTTGATTTAGTCTTTGTTAAATTTTGTCATGGAAAATAATGATTACAATTTGCTGAGCAATTTTTTCTATGCCATGAATATCTTAAGGTAACTCTGTGATAGAAGAACTCCCTTCCAGTTTGTAAACAAGGAGAGTTAAAATGAAAAAGGGTTGCCCAACTACAGGTATATATTGAGCGTGTGACTTTCCCAAAGTGTCCTGAAGACACCTCTCCTAATTGATCTACCCACAACTATCAGCTGATTTCTCCCTGCTTCCTCATGTTGAAGACGAAAGTGTGGTCCTATAAAGGCTAAATTATGTTCAGAGGCTGGGCCCCAAGCATATATTTTTTGGAGCAAGGAAATATCATATGTTGTTAAATGAAGTAGTATATGGAATGTGCCCAGGAAATACAACACTTATACTGACATATTGGAGGGGCCTCATAAGAGCATTTGCTTCATATAATATAGTATTTATATCTTGCCCCATTCCACACATAATTTAAATTTTGAAATATATATGTTCGAATATAAACACATATATGCATATACATATCTGAATGTATATACTTATGTATTTATATCATAGTGAAACAAATAATTACATAGAAACAAAGATAGGTAAAACATTAATAGAGGGGCTGGGGATGTGGCTCAAGCGGTAGCGCGCTCACCTGGCATGGGTGGGCCACTGGGTTCGATCCTCAGCACCACATAAAAATAAAATAAGGATGTTGTATCCACCGAAAACTAAAAAAAAAAAAAAAAAAAAAAAAATTAATAGAAGAGATTAGTAGATAGAAGTGAAAATCATGCAAGCTCTACATTCCCAAAAAGTCAAAACACAATTTTGTAAGACTTCAGTGACAAAATTCATGCTGCCTAGCAAAAGGAGAAAAGGAAAAATAATGTATTAACTTTACCCCAAAGGAAATATAAACATATTTTTTGAATCTCTACATGGTCCTCATATCAAGGAAATATTCTTTATACATATGGAACTACTTGGAATGGATGAAAATTATTATTTGAACAATCCTTTAAAGGCCATATATTCCCTGAAATTAAATAAAGGTGTAAGAGATTTTTATTATCTATAAAATATATTTACTAACAGTGATTTTTAATTCTAATATGAATGAATTGTGAAATAGAAAAAGAGGAAATCATGTCTTAAGATAGATAAAATACTTTTTTTTGTAGTGAAACATTTAGAAATAGAAATAGCCAATCACAAAATCTGTTAGGTGGAAGAGAGAGGGAACTCATATAAAAGGGGTTAACACCTACTTTAAGTCCAGGGCATGTCTTATGGAACAGAATGACAGTAGTCACCTGAGATCAGGTAGGTGCCAGTCAATCCAATATTAAAGTCAGAAAAGTATTACACATGTAGGTGTGAATTCATTCTCAGGATAATTTCTTGGTATGCATCCACCTAAAATGTAGCAAAATAAATATATATCTCTCTCTCTCTCTCTCTCTCTCTCTCTCTCTCTCTCTCTCTATATATATATATATATATATATATATATATCTCCTTAAAACAAAGACAGAAAAAGATTCTGAAATGTTTCTACTAAGTTCCAAATATGTCTATTTGAAACAAATTATATAACACTCTTATAGTCATGTCATAAATGTGAAAAGTAATCACTATTTATTCTTTAATATGATCTCTAAATTGCTTTATTTTCAGCATGAGGGTTTTTGTAGTTTTATATCTTTCCCAAGATTCCTTTCTTCACTCCTGTAACTGGTTCTATTTTTAAGTAATATTATAATCTCTTTCACTTGTAATTCTCCTACATTGTGGTTTTTCAATTCCTACTTAAAGTAGTTCCCTTCTGTACTCAGGAAGTGGATTCTGAAGAATGTGTTATGCTTTTCAAAATTGCTGATGCTTCTCGCACAGGCTGAATCATTGTAATGATGTGAAATTTAAAAAGTCAAGTAAATCATAAATCTAGTATATACATGTTCTACTGGGACATATTGAATCAAGGTCCTGGTTTTAATATTTTTTTTATATTCTTCAGTTGTTATATTCTTAATTATGCAGTTTTAAGTAGAGGGACAAACTCTGGAGAGAGTGCTACATATGCGCCTTGATACTGGTTTTACTTTGTGGCCCTGAATAAGGCCACTAACTAATAAAAGGATTGCAGCTTTATTATTTATAAAATAAGGCCCTTGGGATAAGGCACACTGTAGTCTTTCTAGATCTAAAATCTGATACCGTATCTAATATATACTCATAAAAATGGGAACACGGGCACACACAAAGCAGCATGCAAATGTAAAGGTATACCATAATTCATGTCAGTTGCAGTAAAGAAATCATGAGTATGAGTAGGAAGAATACATGGGATTAGTGAAGTTATGGATTTCAACTATTAAAGAGAGTGGACGTGCTACCTGTGGAGACCCTTAATAATTATCATATATCCCTGATGTTAGACTTGAGTTATTTGACCAGCATCTGTTAAGTTTCCTTCCAATTCTACAATTAGGACAATTTGATAATATCTAATAAAGCTGAAGATACCAAATGCTTATCTTTTTTAATTCAACAACTTCATCTTAGAGATGTTCTTATGCATTTTCCCAGAAAAGACAAATTCTTAGCAATGTTGTTGTAGAAAACAAATGGAAGAAATCTAAATGTCCATGGGCAGGAGAAAACTAGGATATATTCAAGCTATAAACTATTATATAGCAGTGTGTAATATTGTTAATGTCAAATGATGGAGGCAAGTCACAGAAGAATAAATACAGTACTACTTATATTACGTTCATATTATTTATACTGTGCATGCCTATAGAGCTGATGCCTAACTGGTAAGCATCAGCAAAGCCATGGTGCTCTATACAGTCTCTTAATTGGTTGTGGCATCCTTTCCCATTGGTTGGGCCTGTGCCAGTATTCAATATCCATCATCTTTCTGTGATAAGGCAATCAAACTATGTGAGAATTATGAACAGTACATTTAGAAAACTGGTTACTTTCATGGGAGAATCATAATCGGGAAATGGATGTGCAGTGAGTTTCTGTCATATTGATATTATAGCTATTAACCTAGGTTACAGGTATAAGGGGAATCATTGTTATTCTTTAGATGACTTTAGATATCCAAAACATTTCTTAAGGAAGTTAAAATAATTTAAGTAACTTTTTGTCTTTGCTTAGGTTGTCCTGGGGTTTAATGTATACCGCCTTCATCTTCATCATTTCCATATTCATTACAATTATCATAACATCCACCCAAGTTATACTCATGACTGGCTTTATGGTCATATTTACACTCTTATTCTTATATGGCTTGTCTTTGGTAAGTTAATATGTTTATTTACACTGTCTACACTTGAGTTCTTAGCTACAAATAGTGAATATTAGTGTCCCTGTAGGTTAGTACAGTCCCTTCTTTTATGTCGAGTGTGTGTGCCATTGTAGCCATTCCTAGTTATCACTCTCCTAAATTCATTCCATGCTACTCCCTCTTTCTTCTCTGAACAAGAGCCTCTAATTCTTCTACCTGCCTGAATGATTTCTGCAGTAGGTGTGTAGATAGAAACCCTTCCTTAGAATATTAATTCATTTTAATTTTTCCGAGTTTATATTTGTACCATATCCTCAGATCTTTCAGCTTCCGCCCACTTCCTCAGCAACAAAAGTCCACTGAGTAAGGTCAATAAGGATCCCCTTTAAAAAAAAAAAAAGAAGAAGAACAACAACAACAACTGTGAGCAGAACAGAATCACTATGCCTTATTCTGTTCATTCTCACCGTTAAATATTTTTCATGATATAGAGATCCTTATACCAGTGGTTCTCAGTGAAGTAAATGTCTGCCATAGCTAAGTAAGTGTGTTCTCTCTTTCAGCTAGCTTTATCATTCCTGATGAGCGTGCTGTTACAGAAAGCTGTCCTCACAAATTTGTTTGTGTTTCTCCTCACCCTCTTTTGGGGGTTTGTGGGATTCACTGCCTTCTATAAACAACTTCCTCCCTCTGTACAGTGGATTTTGAGTATTTGTAGCCCTTTCGCCTTAAGAGCTGGAATGACTCAGGTAAAAGCATTGCTAATTAATTATTGAACTTTCTTTTTTTTTAATTTTTTTTATTGGTTGTTCAAAACATTATAAAGCTCTTGACATATCATATTTCATACATTAGATTCAAGTTGGTTATGAACTCCAAATTTTACCCCAAATACAGATTGCAGAATCACATCGGTTACACATCCACATTTTTACATAATGCCCTATTAGTAACTGTTGTATTCTGCTACCTTTCCTATCCTCTACCATCCCCCCTCCCTCCCCTCCCATCTTCTCTCTCTACCCCATCCACTGTAATTCATATCTCTCCTTGTTTATTTTCCCTTTCCCCTCACAACCTCTTATATGTAATTTTGTATAACAATGAGGGTCTCCCTCCATTACCATGCAATTTCCCTTTTCTCTCCCTTTCCATCCCACCTCATGTATCTGTTTAATGTTAATCTTTTCTTCCTGCTCTTCCTCCCTGCTCTGTTCTTAGTTGCTCTCATTATATCAAAGAAGACATTTGGTATTTGTTTTTTAGGGATTGGCTAGCTTCACTAAGCATAATCTGCTCTAGTGCCATCCATTTCCCTGCAAATTCTATGATTTTGTCATTTTTTAGTGCTGCGAAATACTCCATGGTGTATAAATGCCACATTTTTTTTATCCATTCATCTATTGAAGGGCATCTGGGTTGGTTCCACAGTCTAGCAATTGTGAATTGTGCTGCTATGAACATCGATGTAGCAGTATCCCTGTAGTACGCTCTTTTAAGGTCTTCAGGGAAAAGTCCAAGAAGGGCAATAGCTGGGTCAAATGGTGGTTCCATTCCCAGCTTTCCCAGGAATCTCCATACTTCTTTCCAGATTGGCCGCACCAGTTTGCAGTCCCACCAGCAATGTACAAGAGTACCCTTTTCCCCACTTGATATTTCATGACTTATTATAATTAGCACTATCTTCAACCAAGAGCCTTTAAGTAGTTTTCTATTTTAAAAGTAACTTTGAAAAAGTTCTCTTATCGTTGTACTAATTAGGTGCTTCAGGAGTTTCTCACGTTCTTTTTAAGATCTGTTTTATTTGTTACATTGAAGACATTTTGCTAAACCATAGTGATTTTATAAAAACAAGCACAAGTCCTAATTTAAATTTTTATACTTAGAACATTGTCTTTTAGAAACCAGAGTTTCCTTATAATATTCTTTTAGTCATTATAAAATGGATATTTTTTTCTAATTGTTTTATTTGCTTATTTATATGTTTGACTAATTAATAGTTATTTAAAAAGCTAGTTAGTAATGATAATTCTAGTTCTAATGATAATAATAATAGTAATTCTAATAATTCTGAAAGTAATAGTTCTAACAATTCTTTATACAACTTATGTATTTACTAACTTAAAGATATATTATGATTTTTGTTGAAATCTTAGATTCTTCATCTGGATTATAACTTGAATGGAGTAGTTTTCCCTGACCCCTCAGGAGAATCATATACAATGCTAGCAACATTTTCTGTGTTGGCTTTTGATGGTCTTATCTACTTGATGCTGGCACTGTACTTTGACAAAATCTTACCCTGTAAGTAATGGTGTTTTTTTTCTCTGACATCTCCAGTTAATGATCACATCAAATAGTTTTTCTTAAAGTTATGCAAATCTATTTTTAGAAATGAAAAAAAATTCTCATCTCAGAGCTAATGTACTCTTTATTTTTACTTCAGAGTTTTAGTTATCCAAAGAAATTTTACATAAAAACAATTATTCTTCTGACTTCCATATAATGTTATAATTACATGATAATGCTAATTATATAACATTATAATTATGTAGTAATGAAATAATGTTAGTTTTTCAAGTATCCTTGAAAAGTATTTTCAAAGAGTGATAATTAGGATTTGTGTCAGAACAAGCAGAAATTTCTTAAAAGTGATTTGGCTTTGGAAATGCTTATTAATAAATATTTGTTTAGCAATATTTTCAACATTATCATGTACTATTCAAAGTTACAGAAATATTTACAGACAGTCATATTGTCTTTATCTTGCAAACAACCAAAAAATTTCAGTAAGCCAAGAATACCTGCACACTCACTAGACTCAGAATGCTTTCCCAATACATAATCTTATTCTTGTATATTCTTTCTGCTTTGACTACAGTTAATATTGTCTTGTATATTCTGTGTATTTACTAGTATGTATTTCTCTATTTTGGTTACTTCTGTTTTATACTGACGGCCCTTAATAACAAATACTACTTCATTTTTTAATCTAGAAAAAAATTGAAAACACTACCATATTTATCCTGAACTACTATGATTTCTTCATGTTTATTTCATTCATGTGCCTATATGCAAATACTTGGATTTCAGTATTAGGTTCCACTGTATTGCTATGGTCAAATTATTTAAGTTCATAAAGGTGTTTCTAATTACTTTTATGTGCCATATTGAGATTTTATATTTTCCCAATATTTCATTTCATTCATTCTTCTAAATACTTTTAGGATCACATTTTATTTAAACCTTTGATCTATATTTTGTTAAAAGTTCCATTATATGTTTTAACTTTTGCAATATTATTTCTTTTGAATTTTCATTGTTTATTAACAACTTTTCTTCTGAATAATAGCAAGTGGAAAGAAAAGAATTTTTCTACGATGTTTAAAAATTTATGATATTCTAGATTGTTCAGGGGAAACCTTGTATTCATATTAGTGATCTGATATTATATTGCCTATTGATTAATTAGATGGAAATGAGCACCGCTATTCTCCATTATTTTTCCTGAGTTCATCATCTTGTTTCCGACACCGAAGGACTGATAATACAGTCATTGAGAAAGACCTGGATCCCGAGCATCCCTCTGATGATTATTTTGAACCCATACCTTCTGAATTCCAAGGAAAAGAAGCCATCAGGTAACCATAATTCATGAGTACCGGGCTAAGGAATGGTTAACCAATAGCAATGAGGTGAGCCTGAGGCCAAATATTGAAGGGAAAGGAACTGGTCAACATCACTTTGCACTATTCCAAGGCCAGCCACCACCAGTTTCTCCTAACTGCTACCTGAAAGGAGGATTTCCTTCGACCCTCTCCATACAATATTACCTAGTCATGCTCCACCTTGTCTGCTTTTCTGCTTCTGTCTCTTGTGCCCTACCTCTTTTTATACTTGCTATTTTCATTCTCTGAACCCTTCCTTTCATAGTTTTGTCTGGCTTATAGGATGGAAGAAGTAAGAAATTTGGAATCAGAAATTTCTTAGAGCCTTGCATCACAATTGTTTCTTACTTGATGTGTAACCTTGGAAAAACAAGTAAGTTTCTCAAGTCTCAGTGTCTTCTGTGAAACAAGAGTAATATCCACTTCATAATATTGTTAAGAGAATTGGTAGGTACCTGTACCATATGAGGAGCACTTAAAACATCTGTGTTCTTGGACTTTCCTTCTTGAATTATAATTACTTGAATTACAACCACTGAATCCAAGTATTTGTGGATTTTAAAAAGCCCTGTAGATTTTTTTCCTACAAAGTTGCAAAGTCAAGGAATCAGAGCTTTAAATATCAACAATTCGTTTACTTTGCAGATATTTATATAGTACTTACTATCTACCAGATTTGTACTTAATTCTTACTAAGAATTAAACTTGTAAGGCAGGTACTTCTATTTTCTCTATTTTAAAATTAGAAAAGTGAACTATTGAAAGGTTAAGTTTCTTGCCCAGTATTTTTTAATTGGATATATCATTTTCATTTAAAGCTTCCTTTGATTTCACTGTAACATTCTCTTCATACCTTTTTGTAAGTGGCAATGATGATGAATTTGGTATTGTCAATCTGTTCCATAGTTATAGTGATAACTATAGTTAACATACTGATTTTAACTTTTGTGTAATATTTTAAGACATGAGTCTCTTGGCTTACTTCTCTCTCTTTAAAAGAAGGATACTTTGATTATTTTTGATTTTTGCTTTTATAAACAAGGCTGCCATGAACAACCTTTTAAGAATAAGCAAGGTAAAATGATGATTTTGTTCTAAGGTGTTTTGTATATGTAAAGGTGTGTGTGTGTGTGCACACACATGTTGGAGTTATACATGTGCACATCTAGCAGACAAAAACCAGAGCTCTAAGGACGGTGCTGCATGTAACAGGTATAGTGATTCTCACACATAAAACATGAGGCAAAGGATGCCAAAAGATGTCACAGGAGAGACCATAAGAGGCAGCTTTATGTCATATGGAAGAGTCTTGATATTCCCTCTGAGGCTCATGAGGAAATCCTGAGGAATGTTGAAGAATAATTAAGATGATTTTTAAAAACAACAACCTATTTTCTCTTTAAAGCATGAATTCTAAGAGGAATAATTAAGAAGAGGAGAAAAAATTAGAGGCAGTATACAATAGGAGAACTGATAAAGGACTAAACAAGATTGATTAGTAGGGATCTAGGGAGACCGTCTCAACATGATAGCTATTTAAGAGTTAAATTTTACAAGAAATATAATTGGTTACATGGGTGATGGATGAGTCTGAGCAATAATTATGAAGAAAACAGCTGAATGTCCATACTGCTAAGTATGATCCAGAATGGTAGTGGAATGGGTTTAGGTGGGAAAGGAAATGAGATCTGTTCTGGATCTGCAAGTTTAGAGCAGTTTTTTCTCAAACATAGCTTCACATTAGAATCACTTGGGAGACTTTCATAGTATCCCAGTCCTCAATCTTCACCCAGAATCAATTAATATGGATCTAATGTGAATCTTTGAGTTAGTTCACAGGCATCAGTTGTCTTGGTATTACAATGTATTCAAGTTGAATAATTCTGATTTAGTTGTGTGTGTGTGTGTGTGTGTGTGTGAGAGAGAGAGAGAGAGAGAGAGAGAGAGAGAGAGAGAGAGAGAGAGGCATCCAGAATCAGACAGACATAGAGGTGGGGTGGGGAGAGAGGATAGAGTCAAGATTGGGTTAGTGTTGAAACCGTAAGAATGGATGAGATAACACACTCAGAGAGTATAGGTAAGATGATCCACAGAATACATGGAGGAACCTGTGAAGCACAAGATAATGTTGGAATGTAGGCACTGAACAAAGAGGAAGTCATTGATGGGAACTCATCATCCAGTAATCCAGGATGAGAAAACATTTATTGCATTTGGTAAATAGGTGGTTACTCATGATTTTATTAAAAAGAGGTGCCTGGAATGTGTGGTTGAGATCTGAGTGAAAGTGATAAAGAGAAGGAAATGAAGCAGAAATGGCAAGTTTACATTTTTATTTTGATAATAGTGTAAGATAATGGGAGGAGAGAAACTGCATCATATCTAAATCAGAGTTAGAGTTCAAAGGCAAGTATTAGAACACTCTAGAAGGTGTAAATGACAGAGGCTCTGACTATTGGATAAGAAAGGAAGGAATGGGAGACGAAGGATAAAACCAGAGGAAGAAATGATAATTACAGAGTTTCCTACTTTTCTAAACAAATGATTAGTTGTTTAATTTTGACTTTCTAGAAAGATTCTTTTATTTTTCTGTGTCAGAGGAAATAATTCATTGCAAAGTCCTGTCTTTCTGACTAGCCTGGCATTGCCATCTTTTATTTCACACAAGTGGCCAGTGGCATCTATCTCTACAGCAGGTTTATTCATGATCTATGCTATTTTTACTTCTGTCTTGGCTAAGTAAGCATCCCTTTTGTTATTTCAGGATTAGAAATGTTAAAAAGGAATATAAACCAAAGTCTGGAAATGTGAAAGCTTTGAAAGGTAAAGAAAAACATTTCATTTTTTCACTGTTATTGCAAAAAATATGTAAAATTTAATGTGCAAGATTTAAAAATATCAACAAAAAAGAAAAGAAAAAAGAAAAAAGTATAAATAATCGAATTCAATTCTACCATTAAGACATTAATCATTACTAAAATAGTGCTATAAAACTCTAGATACTTCATGGGTCTATTAACTAACAAAAATGGAATATAAAATGAAAACTGTCATTTTACTTTGTTCTTAGATTATTGTACTATAGATAATATTTTAAATTTGTATAACTTCTAGACTAAAATCTGATAAAATTTTTTCCCAGTCAGGGAATTTACATAGTTTTTATGCTCTGGTGCAGTAATTAACTAAAATAGGACAGGTAAAAACATTGATAGTGAATTAAATTTGCAAGTCAATATGCTGAGACAAACATCGTTTATAACTTTGAACAAATATATTTTGATATTAGATATTCTTAAAAATATGGTTTGTGTAAGCATTAAATTTAACAAGTATTTTTTCTAGAGAACAATTTTCTTTTATTAAAAATAATCCTTAAGTGGAATAGAAATTATATTTACAAAAGATAAAAAATAAGAATTCATAACCCACTTGAATCAAATGTATAAAATATGATATGTCAAGATCATTGTAATGTTTTGAGCAAACAATTAAAAAAAGAAAAAAAAATATGGGGGCCTGGGGATGTGGCTCAAGCAGTAACGTGCTCGCCTGGCATGCGTGGGGCACTGGGTTCGATCCTCAGCACCACATAAAAATAAAATAAAGATGTTGTGTCCACCGAAAACTGAAAAATAAATATTTAAAAAAACTTTTAAGGTAGAGAAGAACAATGAAGGACTATCTTCATTGTATTTACACTGTGTTTCTAACAAATACAGTATCCTATAACTCAATCTTATTTATTCCTTTGACATTAGTTCTATACTTTGAGAAATTAATGTATTTTGTGAGCAAGTTTATTCTTCCCTCTAGGCCTAGACTTTTCTCATCAAATACCATTTAGATCTGTGACTTGTTTAATTTTGGCTAACAGCATATTAGAGTAATTTATATGTATACTTTAAATTTCCGAACACAACATATTTGTACTCATAAAATAATCATCACTTCGTATTATGTTTAAACATCTTCAACTTCCATAAGAATTTCTTCTATTTTTAGCAGTACCTTAACAAATTGAAAACAAATGGAGATCAGGACATGAAAATATATGTACAAATTGGAGCCATGTGGAATTGTTCTTCCGGGAGTAGGTGGGAAGCTGCATTCTCTGTGCTTTGTGCTCTGCAAGAAAGAGTCCCTGTGGCAACTCTGGAGCACCTTTGAGAATACACTCTGAGTTCCTTATCTACATCCTGTTTTTCAGTGACTAAATAACATTCTGTTTTATGGATACCATGATTAACTTATCAACACACCAGTGTATAAAATTCAGTTTCACTATCATAGAAAACACTAGTATGATTATCTTTGTTCAGGCTTTATGAAGGTCATTAATTATAACCTGAAGATAAGTTTCTAGAGGCAGAACTATTCAAAGAAACCATATTTTCAAGATTCTTTTCTCATATTTCAAATCATTTCCCTTTATGATTGGAGGAATTTATACTCTCACAGTCATACATAATTAATAATAACAGGAACCATAGGAAGAATAGCAAAAAACTCTTAAGGGTCTTTGAGAATTCAGTATGTACTGGGAATTATACTAAGTGATTTACATGGATGTTTTCCACTTAACTTTATGAAAAGTATTTTGATGTTTCCCTCACTTTGCAGATGAGGAAACTGAGGCTTGCATTTCATTTTTGCAGTGATGTGGGTCAGTTTCAGGAGAGCGTCAATGTTATTTTCTGCTTACTCTTGAAAAGGCTGGGTACTTTTTATTTACAACACCATATATAAAATTTGTACAGTATTTGTGTAGTTGTCTCGATATTATTTATTAAATAATTAAACTTTCTTATAAATTTGAGAGATCACTTTATTAACCTTTATGCTTATAATGGTCCATT